TCTTAGAGGACAGAGATAATTTCTGATTTCTTTGTAGAGCTAGTAATGTGCAGATACATATACTTGGTGGAGACCAGAAATCTTTAAGACATTCATAAATTGAAACTGATTTTAGCTTATATTTAACTTCTTATGAATAGTATAAATACAAAGACATTAGGAAATAGCTTGCATATATTGACCATTTACTTTGTTCTCTTATTCTGAAAACTATACATTATCCTATGGAAACCTTATAGCATCCATTTGAGATTGGAACATATATTGTCCCATGCTACATACTCAAAATCAGAGACTTAAGGGATTAAGACATACTCAGTGTCATACATTTAGGATAAGTCAGAGCCAGTGTATGAACCTGGCTTCCAGAATCAGGAATGAGAGAAACAATAAATTCTAGCATAATGATGTATGTTTGTGGGACTCAAAGAACACAGCAGCTAATACTATCAAAGAAGTCCAAGAAAGCATTGCAGAGTGGTTATGTTTGAATTGGGTCACTATGCAATAATTGGAATTTTCTGTGTGGAAAATAAGATTGGAGGAAATGATCAGCAGCAGAGAAAAAATAAGTGCTAAGGCTCAGGTTAAAAAGGGCCTGGCACATGCCTGTAGCCTGTAATCTAGCGGCTGGGCTCTGGAGGCTGAGACAGGAGGATCCAGAGAGAGTTCAAAGTCAGACTCAGCAACAACCTGGTGCTAAGCATCTCAGTGAGATCCTGTCTCTAAATAAAATACAGGAAAAAAAGGGGGGGGGCTGGGGATATGGCTCAATGGTCAAGTGCCCCTGAGTTCAATCCCTGGTACCTTCCCTGCCAAAAAAAGGGGGCCTGACTTGTCTGAGGAAATGAGAAATTTGGATTTGGCAGCAACATTCATCCTTGGGGAGAGTGGCTGAAGATGGTTGCTAGTGAGCGTCTGGATCAAGACTAAAAGATTGCTTTGTTCAGGAAAAGAACTTGAATTCCATTTGTTTCAAAATAGGTAAGTCTTCAGGCAGGAGAATGATTTTTGAAGATGTTTCTAAAGACTAGGAGACAGTGAGGAATATAGATGGGGGACACTAAAGAGTCAGACCCACCCATGTGCTGGTGCACAGTAAGGCCACGGACAGCGCCAGGTTGGCTGCAGACTCCCCTTCAGGGGTGCTGGCCCAGGATTGCTGGCCCAGCCTGCAGGGTCTTCTTGCAAAATAGAAAAAGGCCTCCTTTCCTCCAGACAGTTTAGAGCCACTTCAGGGTGCACACTTAACTTAGCAAACAGAGCAGAGCCTCAGGTTTGGCTTCTGCTCATCCATCTTCTGGGTGAAGTGGCCTTGTTCATTGCTGTCCCTGTACACTTTAGGTGTGCCCAGAGCTGAGGCTTCCCCTATGCACACGAATGGCTAAGGCAGTATGGGGAGCCACAGGGAGGGTGGGTGTGGCATGGCCACCCAATATCAAAGGACACCTTTAGAATATGATGGGTAGGCACAGACACTTTGATACACCAACAAATGTGGCTTCATGACTCTGGGCAAGTTATTTAATTTCTTGAAGACTCAATTTCTTCCTATGTTAAATGGAAATGATTAAAGTGTCTCTCCCACTGAGTTGTGAGAATTATATGAGATAATGCATCCATACACTTGTCTCAGCGAGCGCATCCTACAAACTCGACACATGTTAACTATTAGTATTTCTACTACTAATAATAATGAGAGAGCCCATCTGCACCTGGAAAATGGCGTTGGCTGTATGTTCTCAAGGTTGGTTCTTAAATGGGAAGAAACTGGCATCCAGGGACAGACAGCTGTGATGTGAACTACCTAAATCATAGCATCCTGGAGGTTGATTTTGTCTACTTACCTCATCACACAGTTTGGTGACATGTGTTTATGGAGCAGAGCCACTGGAGGTAGCCCCCAAACAGGGTTCCTGTGGGAAGCAGGTGTTCCCCCACAAGTCTCCCATTCCCATTCAGCTTGGCTCCTGTCCATACCCACTGCCTCTCCCCTCAGTCTGCTCTTCCTTTCTTTCCCACTCCATCCCGCCACCCACGATCCCATGATCTCCCCCACTGCCGAACCCCTCTGCCCTCTCCCTGGGGGGGAAAAATGACTTTTTTCTTTTTCTTCCTTTCTTTTTCTTCTTTTGTTTCTTTCCTTTTGGCTAGCACCTTTGTTCCTTGTTCTCTGGAAGTCTCTGGTCCGTGGTAGAAGTAAGGAAAATGTCATCTAGGCAGAGAGATACTCAGCACACCTGGCCTTGCCACTGGGTTAGATGGGACCAAGATTTCTGGGGAGCAGCAATGTTTGGGCAAGTTGTTGAGCAGTGAGGGGGGGGGGGGCAGAGAGGTGAAAGGAGTAGCAGGAGGAACTGTTGTTCCAGGTGGTTCCAGGTTGGTGTAGGGAAAGACCAAATTTGGTGAAGGATAAGGCCCGAGCCAGCTGGGGAAAGGTGGTGGTCCACACAGGCTGTTTCTATGCTCATACGCACTCAGGACATGGTAACAGACGATGAGAAGAAAAGGCAATTCAAGTGGCAGCTATTTTGGAAGCTGGCCAGGCAGATGGAAGTTTTAGGCAGAGCTTGTCACCTTGGAGAGGCCTCCCTGACAGCCCTGTCTAAAGTACTCCCCACCCAGCACCTCCTGCTGCCCCGCCTTTCAGTGTTTTATTTCTCTCCATAGCATTTAGCATTATCTAAAATTAAATGGTTTATTTGTATGTTGTCAAAATGGTGTTCTCCAGAACAATACAGTTTTTCTACTTTTAGTATCTAGAACATCACCTGGCCCACAGTAGATTGTCAATAAATAATGTTTCGACTTAAGAATAACCAATGTACCATCACCATTATTCCAGAGAGTTGTTGCTCTCTCACATAAGGTTGTCCAATCACTGAGTCCATGCTACCTTCAAGGGATAAATCAGTCACCCTCTGCTCCAGCAGAGTGTCACAGTGCCTCATTTCTCTCTGGAGGGTGCTCAGCAGCTTTGCATTTGAAATGACATTGCAAAGATCCTCTCCTGGAATTCCCATGGATTGTGTAGCTGGGAAGGGAGGCTGCCCTCCATCCAACTCCAATGGTAAGGGCAGGTGAGTGAACTGGTCCCTCTTAGATGTGAATGGGAGGACTGAGTTGGTCGGTCAAAAATGAGGCACATCACTCGGCAAAAGATGGCTCTCAGAAGGCTTCCAGAAGTAAGAAGTTGACCTTACTTCGCTGGCATAAGAACAGCGACACATTTTATGTTACTTAATAGAGGTGCTACGAGGACTGAGAGTAGTTGTCTCTCTCACTGCCTAGAAGTGAGTACACCTACAGCCACTCAAGTGTCCTAGACGGCATGTGTCTCTGTAGGTCAGACAGTGGCCAGTCATACTGTGGTGCCAAAACCTTGTCTAGACTCCAGGCAAAGTCTGGTGCTGCTCTCTTCCATGTCCTGGGTAGGGAGTGCTTTCCTACTGAGCAACTCCATTAAAAGGGAACCAAATGAAGTCCCACGTTTTGGGAACTGTAAGTATGACTACCAGAAACCTGGGAGAAAAGTGATAAATGTTCATAATCCTGCAGATGCTGGGTACATAAACCAAGCATCTCCATAATTGAATTTTGTATACCAAAACCAGGAGTTTGGTGTGATATAGACTCATAGTTCATGTTGTTCTATATATGTGTGTGCACCTACAGACATCTAGTTTTTAAGATACTTGCATATGCTACTTGTAGATGACTATTTCACATTTTTATACGAGCCCTAGGCTTTTGTAAATGACATTCTTCCTGTCTCAAGATTGGTCCAGGTTTTGGTCTTGTTTTATCTCCTTGTTTGCAGGTGTTAGGTCCTGAATCTGTATACTGATTAAATGTTTGAGTATTACAAGAGTAATATACTCCTGTTTTTAATAAGGGCCATGAGGGAGAGTTGTCACTGCATAACAGTGTAATAGCAGTTTTTCTCACTGCCATTTAAGTAGCTATGTGACTTAATGCAGGTCATTTCTGGAGCCTCAGTTTCCCAACTCTGCCTCGAAGGGGTTGATTACTATATACGATTGCTTAATAAGATAGTTACTTTTTTTTCTTTAAAGCAAAAGAATCTGTGATTCAAGTAATATTTTACATAAACATTCTGCTTTTCCTCACTGGGGGGTAGCATGATCTATGTCATCTCTTGTATGTGGGATATGCACTTATAGAGTAATCCATGCCCAATTTTAGAAAAGCATCAAATACACAAATCTCAGTATATGAATATGTCTACATTAAGGTTTTTGTTTTTGTTTTACTTGTTCCTTTCTAAGGAATTGAATCCATTAAGATATTTCATGCTTAGCCAGCATGTTCATTAGTTTTAGACAGATGCTTAAAATAAAAGAGAGGACTTTATTTGATACCTTTATTTATATGCAAAACAGCGCACCATTCATGAGATATGAAAAACTCGTCAGATAGAAACCAGATTATATCTATTTTCACTACAAAATATTGCATTATATAAAGCAACAGAGACACAAAAAAACCCTGAAAAAGACTAAAATCTTTGGATAGCAGATGTGTTTTTTTTTTCCTTGTCTCTAAAATACACTCCTCACTTTAAGAGTTTCACAGCTGAGAACATGAAACATTGTCAGGTTATAGACTTTTCTTTTTGGTTGTCACAGAGGAAAGTAGTTCTGATTTTATTTTATTTTTTTAGGAAAATAACTTAATTTCCTAAAATCATCCCACGCACAAACATCACACACACACACACACACACACACATACACACAAAGAAGCTACTCTCCTTATAAACAGTTTGTAAAGTACTTTTCAGACATAAATACAGATAAGAAAAACAACACTTACTTTTTTAAAAAACTATAATAGTGAAGTGCTAGTGTTGCTGATCTCACAACAAAAGAACCTTTCAAGAACAAACATCTTAATATATAAAATATGTTTAGAAACAGGGAGAAGTGGGAAATTTCTTATACAAGTGCAATATAATTAGAGCAAAAGAAAGACCACAGTATAATCTCAACATACACATAAAAGTTAGACATAATTATTCCACAGGAAAAAGTGTAAACACTTGACTATAAATAAATTGGCACAGAGTATCCAAAGTAAAATTATCACCACTCTGAAAAATAAATGTCTTGAAAAAAATACTCTACTCCTTCTAACATAAATAAAAATAGGTTGTCTTTTTCTAACTGCACCTATGGGTCCACATATTTAAGGTCACAAATAGATGTTTTTGGATATATAAAGGGGCACTTGGCCTGAAAAAGCAATCAGATATTAAATTTTCCATTTAAATATGGTTTATCCTGTCTACTTTAATGGTCTATCTTGGGGTTAAAATCTCACCAAGCTCAAATCCTTCCACAGTGTATTTGTTCTTCATGTGTCTTTTTAACCTTACCAAATATTCAGGGTTTGTTTTATTTGAATTCTAATATAATCTTTCTTTTGGCGACCAAACAGAAAGTTTGCTGTCCCACCTTCCTGTGCCTTAATCTTTGTATGGAATAAGTTCCCTCCTCTCTTTCTTGCCAGCATTTGGTGATTTGTCAATTAGAAAAATTCCACACAATTTAAAGTTCTGAGCCTGTACTCTGAGCTTCTGCCCTCCTTCTTTCAAAATATGAAGATGTGTAGGAGAACTCAAAGTCTCCAGTGGGTTAAAGCAATAACCCTTAAGGGGAGCCTACTACACAGAGGGAAGGCCCCAGGGCGGCTCATCTTGGGTGCCTCCAGAAGGTTCTTCTGGCCTGGAAAATACCCTCTGTGCGCCCCAGAGCTCTCCAGCCAACCCCACCTCCCAGCGAAGGAAAACTTCCCCTGTTGTCCCACTGACCAGAGAGAACAGGCTGTGAGCTTCTTCCCGGGTCCAAGTGTCTCCCGGGGGCCTTCCCGCTGGGCCGTCGCCGCCTTTGCCTTGCCAGTGGCGGCCGCCTGGATCGGTCGCCTTTCGCGAACGCTGGGACAGGCGGCCTCCCGCGGCGCCCCCTGCCCTACACGTCCAGGACGTGGTTGAGATAGGAGATGTAGCAGATGGCCAGACGCAGGATCTCGATCTTGGAGAGCTTCTTGTCCGGGGGCAGCGTGGGCAGCAGTTTGCGGAGCTCGGCGAAGGCCAGGTTGAAGGCTTCCACGCGGATGCGCTCGCGGGTAGCATGGGCCGAACGGTACTTGGCCGTGGCCCGCCTGCGGCGGCGCTTCTCTTCCCGGCTCAGCTGCTGCGGGTGTGGGTAGAGCGCGGCACGGCTGCCGCCTTTGACGTCGCCCTCGGCCTCCTCCACCGGTTCCAGGTCCGACACGCTGCCCAGCACCTTGGCGTCCGCGCCTCCCAGCGACTCCGGGTCCGAGTGCGCCGAGCTGGGGTGATCCGAGTCGGCGGCTTGGTCCGGACTCAGCATCATTTTGGAGGCTGAAGGGGAGTTAGAAAATCAGTCAATAAAGGGAATCGGGATCTTCTTTTGCTATAAAGGATGGAAGACAGATGCCTGCCACGCCGGCCCTCCAGGCGGTCGCACATCCCGGGCCCCCTCCCCACAGCAGGCCCACGCGCAAGGAGGGATTACGCGCGGAAGCGCCGAGTAGCGGGTCGGAGGCGCAGGAGCTGGCGAGGTCTCTCCGTGGCCTAGGCCACATCCCGGACGGATACTTCTGCCCACAAGAGGCCAAGACTGGCCTGTGGCCCTGGGGCTGTGGAATGACCTCAGGCCTTGAGCGCGGTGGGGTTTTGTGCCTCCTCTGGCCTACCATCAACTGCGCTACATCGCCTCCCTCGCTTCGTCCCCTTTCCAGACAAACGAATGATTGGAAACGATGAATACACCTAGGTTTTAATGGCACGGGGAAACGTGGTTGCTTCCCGTCCAGAGGGTCTGGAGCAGAGCAGCTGCAAAGCCGCCGCGCCCGAGGTCCTGGTGCTGCACGTGGGGCGCACTGCTCTGGGGTACAGGCTGCATGGGACCCCTATCCCTGAGCTCAGGCTGATAGCAGGCTGCCCGGGGCTTCCTGGTAACCCTCACCCTCCTCCGAAATACTAAAGAAAAACGTGTAGGCTCTTTTCAAAAGAAAATTGACTCCTATGCCCTCGCACGCTCCGGGTGCACCATCTGTCATGCAGACAGCCACACACATAGGGGACCTAGGGACGCAGCGATGCGAGATAACACAATGCCCGGCAGTCTGCCGACCACCTCACGGGGAAAATGCTGGCGGTCACGTCGCTTTAGGAGGAGAGGCTGGAGAGGGATGGGGAAAGCCAGGGACTGTGGCGGGGCGGGCGGACAGTTGAGTGATGCCTGGGCGCCAAGGGCATCTACGCGGCAAAGTTGGGCGCTCCCGGAACTGATGATCCCCGACGCGCAACTGTCCACGGGAGGCCTGGCCAAGGCCCAGAGTCTGTGTTTAGCGGTCTTCTGATGATGGCCTCCCTGAAAAGCCACCGAGCCCGGACCACTGGAGAAAGACCCCGGCCTGCGCGTCTTCTGGGAGGGGGCCCGCTCTGAACCGCTGGGCTTCGGGGAAATTTGGGCTTCAAGAAAGGGGTCAGCTGGAAGGGAAAGGCTCCCGCACCAGCTGCGTGCACAGCCCGCAGGTGAACCGGAGGGGCAACCCGGCTGCGAACACTTGGTCCCCGCGTGTGCCTCCCAAGAGACTCTCCACGCGCGAGAAAATCGCGAATGCAAGATGTAGGAGGGCTTGCTCCTAGAGAAACAAAGCGGGGGATGTAGGATCTGCTCCCAGCACCGCGCTTGCCTCTGAGCGAATCGGGCTCCAAAACAGCTTTCGTTTCCGTGCAAGGAAAACAGATCCTCTAAGGCGAAATAAAAACAAATGTTCCAGGTGAACTACATTTGAGTCCCTATGGGTTTTTCTCGGCTACCTTTATAAGTAAAATAACTTGCATTTACACAGTCGGCTTGAAAGGGCAAAAATATATCTGGCGAGCAATAGAAAATCACAATAAGCCACGACATAGTTGTAGTTCGCATAAAAAGTTCCTGGGTTCCCCTCAAAACATGTTAAATTCTCCTCCAGGCATATTTTAAATATTCATAAATACTATGTCGTGTATGCATTTTATTTCTTTAACTCCGGACTGAAATAAATGCAATATGAATAAACTTAGTTTTAAGCTGGAAAAAAAATGTAAAGGAGTCTTACCTTGCAAAAGCCCTTTCGATAATCTTTTCTCCAATCTTTTAGAGTTAAAATTCCAGGGAATAGCGAGGGGGGATTTCCGGAAAATATTAAAAGCAGCAAATGTTTATTACATTCAAAAATGCAGGAGCAGTTGTCACCTCGCCGGTGCCCACATCGAGGAACGGTATCTCAGAATGTGGGTGACATGAATGATTGTTCACTTAGTTGATAGATCAAAAAATGCCTTTTCCTTTTAATTGTTCTCAAACATTTTGAAAAACTCGTTGTTGATTTTTTTCTAAACGATGTGTTGAAAAGTCTCCTGCTTTTCTCCTCTTCTAGGGCTCTATAAATAACAAAAGAGATGCAGAGATAAACACAATCACATCAAAGGGTTGATTCCTCCACTTTCTAATAGCGGAATAATCAATAAGAAAGATGGTTAAGATAAGATTCTGCCCCGGAAGGATCCTTTCCTTCCCTTAATAGGGCTGAGCAGAAACTGGGAAGTGCAGGGCAGAGCTGAGATCTTGCTCAGAAGTGATTTTTTTTTCTAGATAAGGCTTTGTTCAGCTGATGTCTCCCCAGTTCCCAGGAACACAATACTGTAACTCGGAGCTAAGGTCGCCTCTTCCTCATCCCTCATTTACTTGTATGTTTTATAAAAAGGCACCTATTTTCCAGTTTCAAAGTCTTTCAAAGCTTGGTTACACCCACCGCCCCACCCCCTCCTCTCTTTACCTTGTAGCAAAATATATATAGTCAGTGGCTTGGAGATGCTTGGAGAAAGGTTGGTGAAAAGTGAACGTCTCCTGGAGTAACAGTGACAGAGAAGCAGAGAAAGACAGGAAGAGGGTGGAGAGCCAGAGCAAAGAGGCAGAGATGCATGTGTGGCTTCTTGGCTCTCCTGGTACCAATTGACTCAGCCTGGAGATGGTGGAAGAGATAAAGGCTTAAGAAGGGGGATGGAATTTTTTTCCCCTAAATTGATATTTAATGGGAAATCCTATTGGACAGAAACCTGGACACGAGTCACTTAATTGGACTTGACATCTGTCACAGTGTGGGAGTTTTCACAGCCCAAATATTTTAGCAGATCAGATTCCCACTGAATCTGTGCCATAAAATATAACAGTTGAAAGCAGTCCATGATAGAAACCATAGCCTTTAAACAGAATCTCTAGCCATAATCAGGGTATTTCTTATTTTCAGATTATCAGTGCAGTAGGTAAGTGCAATTAAAAATATCCCGACTATGGAAAAAAATTCTCTGGCGTATTATAAACCCAGCATCTTTCCTTCATGTTTAGAGAAATATTTGTGCCCAACATGTGGAAATATATGTTATATAAGATACTACAATTAACATGAAGTATTCAGATATGCAATTAATATTTATTAAAGAGTATTTGCATTTTGAAAGACATTTCAACAAGGTTTGATTAAGCATATTGATATTTTTGAGAGATATCTTGCTATGAATCAAACATCAATAGATGAATTTTAAAATACATCTTAAAATAGAATAAATCATTGGTGGAACTAGGAACAGAATTTAAGTAGTCAGGGACCACTATATGAAACAATTCTACTTTCCTGATAGTGTTTGTTTTTCTCTTCATCCACTCATTCATTCAACTTAAATATGACATGCTACATGTGTAGATTATTGCACCTTATTCTTTCCCATCTTAACATGTGAATACATTTAGCAGTGTGGCAGTGCACTGGGCTAGGATGTAAACACTTACAAATCACCAGTGTATTTCAGTACATAATGCCTGTGCCTTGTACAGCCCCATTGCCCTGAATTTATACGATTTATAACGGATTCAGTTATTTTGCCACTTAATAGAGATAATGTTGGTGACCATTAATTACATATTATTTGCTATCAATTACATTTTGTCAATTACTCCATTGATTAGGTATCATCTGTGCTCATTTTAGCTCTTTTGATTGGTTCATCTTAAAAGAAATAAGTATTATAGCCTTGATGTCCACATTCTTAATTCCTGGAGGAATTGTAGAGAGGAGTTTTCACTTTAACTCCTTTATCAGATTTGCCTTAAAAACAGATTTTATTAGCAGTGGGGAGGTCATTGAACAGCCTACCCCTGAGAATGACCCTCTGGGGTCCTCATGGCTGCCACAGCACTATTTGCCTTTGCTGACACATTTGCTTCTCTGGGGGGATACCTGGACCAGAATGAGGCTGGAATAGGACGGAAGAAAGAGTGCCTCCAAGGAATAGGGGCACTGACACAGTTCAGCCTTGCCTTTCCGCTCAGCCCTAGCACAGGAGTGTGTATTTAAGATATCCCCAGGACATCTAAGTGGAGACAAAAGGCAGCCTCATGTGGGTAGCAATGGAAACAGGTAAGTGGATAAACTCCCCAAGGTAGTGAAGATGAAGATAGAAAGGAAATTTCCCAATCTGGTTAGGAGCAGCCAACACTAAGCACTTCCTTAAAACCAGAAATGTGCACACAGATGCACACCCATAGATGCCTGTACCTCCTCACCCCCAGTACTCATACAAGTTTGCTGGCTCTATTGGAGGGCTACACATCCAGAATGATGGACTGAAAAACCTGATGGGTTTAATCATCTGCTCATGACGGGGCAGCTGCTGGAGCAGGATGGGACCCATGTCCCTGGTTCCTCTGGTCTTGGGGAGTGGGTATAGAGGGTGCACATATAAGGCTTGTCCAATTCTGCTATGCTGTGTGTGAATCCAGACAAATTCTCTTTCATGTTCAGGCTTATTTATTACACACTGTTAAGCCAGCATATTTATAATTAATGCTTACATTATTAAACCTCTGTAGGTACATATTCAGATCTATACACAGCCACACCTAGACTCATTGTCATTGACACAAACATGGACTCCCCCCCCACACACACACATGCATTCTGTCTTCCAGGAAAGCCTCCCCCTCCCCCACCACCATTGCCTTTTTGAAGACCTCCCTGGCACAGATGGCCCCTTTTTCTGTGCTCCATAAGCCTTTCTTTCACATCTCCCTTTGAGACTACATATTATGTACAGTGAATCTTGGTTTCCATTCCTGTCTCTCCAGTAGGCTGTGAGGCTTCCAGAAAAGGTCTGTTGCTTCTTTCCCCAGCTCTGACCTCAGAATTGACACACTATAAGTACTCAATTCATTTGTGGTAGTTGGCTACTGCATGTAGAGGCTGTGGACATTTGCAACATAGAAACACTTCCACCAAAAAGCACCCATGGTCCCAGTTGTATTTTTTCTTTCCTATGAAA